TGTCTCTTCTCCCACCCACCTGGCTTTCTCTCTCTCTCTGCTCCCTCTTCTTCCTCTCACCCTGTTTCCCACCTGGGCCAGAACCTGGGCCCTTCCCCACCCAGCAAAGGCCACTTGGCCCCACACTAAGCAAAGCTTAGTCCCACCCGAGACCTCCCTGGGATGCATGTGTCATCAGCTCGGCCCCTTGGAGACCTTCATTTCCCTGGGAGGCCACTGGGCTGACTGCACCGGCCACAGAGGAAGCTCTGGGTGGGAGGCACCGTATCTCTAAGGCCTTGGCCTGGAAAAGGCTGTAAGGGCCTCCGGCTTCGTAGGAGCCAAAGCGTCCCACGGCCGCACCCGGATGCTGGCGGCATGCTCATTTATTAGGCTGAGTTCAAGAAGGGGTGGGAGGCTGGAGAGGCAGGGTGGGGGTCCAGGAGGGGCATGGGAGGGGCTTCGTCCAGGCCACGCTCCGGGTGGCCGTGGAGGTGGCATCACTTCTTGGAGGCCTGCTTCTTCCAGGTGGATGTCTTCTTATTGCTCTTCCAGGCTTTGTTGAGAGCACGCAGATCCAAATCAGGCTGGATCATTCTAGAAACCAAAGCAGAGAGAAGCAGGTGCTGGGAGACGGGTGGAGTGGGCTGGTCTGCAGGCACCCGGATCTCCCTGGCCTGAGCAGGGAAGGGCAGGCCCCGCCGCCTCGCAGCTGAGGCCCCTGGGTGTTGCTCCGATTGGGGGTCCTGGTGACACCTGTGACCTTCCTGGATGCTCAGTGTGGCTTTTCTGTCTTCATGAGAAATAAGTGGTTTTCATGCAGAATATGATTTGCTTCACCGTTACTACGGCCAGCATGCTGGATCTTGAAGGCCTAGGACGTTTCTTGCCAGGAGGCAGCAGGCAGTCTCAGAGCAATGGGCCTGGGCCACGGGGCTTCGCCGAAAAGTCTACCGAAGGCCTCCATCTCCACCACCCAGACCACTGCCGGCAGCGCCAGGGAGCCGCCTCCAGGGCCAGCTGGACATCATGCTGATAAAAAGGGCCAGACGTCGGGATTCCTGGAGGACCCACGCCTGGGGGGGCAGTGACCTGCCCGAGGCCACTTGGCCCCACGTGGCCTCTGTGGCCTGTGGTGGAGCCGGGAGCCCTTTCGTGAGCCACACCCATTCTGCCGACCACAGGGGGTCCCTGAGCCCCGGGCCGGGGTGGCCACCTACTTCCTCTTGGCTTCGGTGGAGGGCTCCTCCAACTTGTCCCCCAAGGCCAACGAGGAGAGGCTTCCTTGGACGTCCCCCGAGACCGCTTTCTTGGCTGAGGTGGGGTCTTCCAGGCCCGGGATGGAGGCTAAAACGCTGCAGGGGAGGCAGGGAGGGGAGGGAGCGCTCAGTGGAGGCACAGCGTGGGGAGAGGGGGCCCGGGCCAGCCGCCCTGGCTCGGCGCCAACCCGTCAAGGTTCCGGTTCCGAGAAAAATGGGCGCTGGAGCTTCTCCTCCCAAGGTGGATGGAGGGAGGACTCCCGGGACCCGAGACTCCCTGGAGCTCAGCTGCCCTGGCTTCTGTTTACAGCTGGACCTGCCCTCAGCCCTGTGTCTGCCACACTGGTCCGCCCAGTGCTGACCACTGGAGAAGTCGGCCGAGGGGGCTCCGCGGGGCAAGCAGAGGACGAGGCACGGAGGCCCAGCAAGTTGGACCCGTGCACCGGGTTAAGGGTTGACTGCGTCCCCCTGATCCTCAGGTGGGAGTCCTAACCGCTGGGACCCCCAGAACAGGACTGCATTTGGAAAAGAGTAGAGACGGACTCACACCAGAGCAGTGTGACCTCTCGTCTACCTGGGGTCCTCACAAAGGGGGGAGTGTGGACGCAGACACGCCTGGGGGACGCCTCGTGAGGACAGCTGTGCTGCCCGGCCCGGGAGCCCCCAGGGGTGGGAGGCGGGCATGAACAGACCCGTCCCTGGTGCCCGCGGAGGGAGTGCGGCGGCCGCACCTCTGTCTGGACTCCGCCCCGAGACACGCTGGGCACCTGGTCAGGGCTCACCCCTCAGCGCACCTCCAGGCTCTGCAACCATCACGGACGACGGGCACTCTCCTCGGAGAGCCCGGCCTACAGAGGCGGCTCCCTGGTGGGCTCCCCGGGGCGAGGGCACGTGGCAGCGTGAACAGAGGGGGCCCTCCCTCCTGACAGCATCAGGGCAGGGCCTGGCGCGGGCAGGCTTCTCCCTGGCCCTGGGCCCGCCCTTCACGGTGCCCTCCTTGGATGGAGCCTGGGAGCACAGCTGAGGGGGAGAGGCCCCCGACACTGGGCCCGGCCCGCTGCCAGCTGCCCCTCCGTCCACCGCTGGGGCCCCTCCACCTCTTCCGATGTAGGCACGCTGTCAAGCGGCACAGTCAGGAAGCGCTTCCCCTCACGCATGGTGGTGCTTCAGAGTTTACAGAGCCTCTGCTTCAGTTTATTGGGAACACTACAGCTTACAGAGCCTGGCGAGGATCTCTGGGTGCTCACTGCACTGTGCTCCCTGTCTGAAACGCACTCTTCACAGAGAGCTGGTCAGCTGAGAAGCGGTGCTGGCATTTACGAATGTCTTGTGGTCGACAGAAAGCTTCACAGGGTGCCAGGCACCTTACAGTTTGTGGAACACTTGCCCAGCTCCCAGCCCAAGGCCGTCTTGGTGTTTGGGTGGAGGGCACGCGGAGTTACAGGATGCTCTGGAGTCCACGGGGCACGTCAGCGTGCACGGCCCCCGTGGCTGGTGGGGCAGGCGACACCTGGGAAAGGCTTGGTCTTTCAGATCTCACCGCAGTGTGCACAGCGCTCCAGGGCTGACCGGTCACGACAGTTTAGATGGGCTTTGCAGGTCTACTGGGCAGACGCAGTTTGCCAAGCACGATGCCGTCGCAGAGCACATCGCCTCCCAGAGCTTCTCGTTCTCCTGCCTCCCTGCTCCGAGATGGTCCTGGGGGCGCGGGCTCTCCTCCCTGCGGGCAGCGGGCAGGTGGCTGCCTGATGCCGTGTGCGGGGCGCTGCCCGGACCCGCCTCTCCCGGCACTTGCCTGCCTCCCCTATGCCAATGGAGGGGCTGCGGGAGGGGCTCCTCGCCAGCCAGGCCTCTGTAGGGGGCTCACCTCCTGGACACATCGCCCAGCGGCCGGGCCAGAGCCACAGCTTCACTGGCCTCTCCCCGCCACCCCGCCAGGTCCTGCGGGCAGGCCCAGGTGGCAGCAGCCAGGACAGTGGCGAGTGGATCTGGGTCCGTGGGCCGGGCTCCTCCCTGGCCCCACACCCTCTGAATCCAGGTGGCATCTGGGCTTCCCCAGTGGCTCAGGCAGTAAAGAATCTGCCTGCGATGCAACAGACCTGGGTTCGATCCCTGGGTCAGGAAGACTCCCTGGAGAAGTAAACAGCAACCCACTCCAGTATTCTTATCTGGAGAATCCCATGGATAGAGGAGCCTGGCGGGCTACAGTCCATGGAGTTGCAAAGAGTCAGACAAGTTTAGCAACTAAACCACCACAGACAGAGGTGGCAGGAAAGCAGACCCCAGTGGGCACATCTCCTGAGACTTCCTGCACTGGACAGTCTTCCCCTTGCCCCCATCCAACCTGCCCCTGTGCCCGGGAGGGGCCGTGGCTTATCATGTCTTAGGAACTCAGAGCGGGACCAAGTGGAGAGGTGGAGTCAGGCAGAGCAGGAAGGACCTGGGTGAGGGGTGACCAGCGGAGGATTCACAACAAGAGTGGGGTGACCCTGACGGGGAGGCGCCCCCACCCGAGCCCTCCACCGCCCCCAGCCACGGACCCCACCCTGATGAGACCTTAGCGCCTGGGGCCTGTCAAGGGCTCCACCTGCTGTGGCCTTGCCCTCAAAGCTGCCTGGGCTCCCCTCCGGCTCAGACCACTGCTGCCCCTGGCTGCCAGCTGCACCCGCGGTCTGGGAATCTGCTGGCCCTGCCTCCGTCACCCCCCACAGCCACTCCAGGGCGGGAGTGAGCACCCGGTGCCCGGAGCCTCCAGGTGTTTCCAGGAGGACCTCACTGCTCTCTCCTGGGGGAGGGGGTCCTTCCTGCCCCGGCTGTGGCACCGCCCGGCCCTGGCCGCCTCTGCTCACGGGCACCCATCGCGGGGCCTGCCAGTGGCACAGCCTGCTGTGGCCACAATGAGGCCTCCCTGAGCCCCGTGAGGGTGGCAGGGAGAGCAGCTGCCAAACACCCAGGTGGCAGCAGCTCAGACTCACGAGGCGCCACCTCCCCAGGACGCCACCCTGCGTCCTTCCAGCTGTCCTCCGACCCAGCTGCTGCCCACCTGTGCTGAGCTCTCCTGACCGTGCTGGCCTGCTGAGCCCTCCCGCGGTGGGGGGCCCTCGCTCGCCGAGCCCTCTGTGCCCCTGCCCGAGCCCCACCCCAGAGCCGCAGCGTGCCAGAGAGAAGCCGAGGGGGTGAGGAGCGGGCTGGGCCGGCGTGGATGCGTGCTGAGTACAAGGCTGCCGGGGATGGAGGCTCACTCTCTGCTGCTTGTCTCTGGTCTCCAGGCTGGCCCTGGCTCCCAGCTGGGGCTCTGTGTACTGGGCCAGGAGCCTTCACTGGGCTGTGCGTAGGTGGCCCTGTCCTGGGGGTCAGAGACGACAGCTGTGGCCATGCCCACAGCGTGCCTCTCCTTCCCTGCCTCCACTCAGCCTGGCTGGCTGTGCAGAGGGGTTCTGTGAGGCTCCCTCCTGGTGGGCCTGTATGGGAGGAAGGAGCCGCAGCATGGAGCACCCAGGAGACCTGAGGGAAGGCAGGCTCACCCTGCAAGTGCGGGCTGTGGGACTGATGTGGACCGGTCGGTGGGGCAGGGAGGGGACGATCCTGTGGCCGGGGGGAGAACGGGGCCTGGTACTACTGGAGTGGAAAGGGGGGGCTTTGAGACCAAACCAGCCCCCCGCCCCCAGGAGCCCACGAGCCGAGAAAACACCCCCTTTCTTCCCCACTGTGGCAAGCACCCACAGAGCATCTCCGTTCCCCTCTTTTAAAACTGGTAAAAACTGTGTAACATAAAATTTATCACCTTGACAGTTGTTCAGTGTACAGTTCAATAGCGTGATGTACAGCAGGATGTACGTCCACATTGTTGGGCAATAGATCTCTTGAACGTTTCCATCCTGCAAAGGTGAACCTGTCCCCGTTAAACAAACCTCCCTGTCCCCCAGGCCCTGGCAGTCACCGCTCTATTCTCTGTGTCTATGGACCCGACCACTGTAAAGGCCTCACGAAAGTGCAGTCGTAGAGTGTTTGCGGTATGTCTGGCTTATTTCACAAAGAAATAAGCCTCCCAGTTCATCCATGTTGCAGCACGTGTCAGAATTTCCTTCCTTTTTAAGGCTGAATATACTCCACTGTGCAGACAGACCATGCTTTCTTCATCCACTCATCCATCGATGGGCCTTGGGGTGCTTCCATTTCTTGGGACACTGGGAACAGTGAGCTACAAACAGGGTGTGCAAATCTCTCTTTGAGACGCCTCCAGCTGTTCTAGTTGCATACCCAGAAGTAGACCTGCTGGACTGGACGGTGATTCTGTCTGTTTTAAGAATCTCCAGGCTGGTTTCCGCACGGCTGCACCCTGCATCAGGGCTCCAACGTCTCTACATCCTCACTGACACTTGCTGTTTCCTGCTTGTTGTTTACCGGTGGGCGTCCTGATGGGAATCAGGTGCTTTCTCCAATGCTCAGTGCTCTTCACTCCCTCTCATGACGGTTTCCGGCCCTGCGGAGGAGCGACGATAGTGTAGACCAGGTCTTGTCCACCTCCAAACCCCCAGGGCCAAGAGCAAGGCTGGGCAAGCGGCCGCTGATTAGAAACTGACCGAGTGGCCTGACTTTCAGGCTGCAAAGGGGTGGCCTCTGGAGAGAGGGCTCTCCCACCACTGGAGGCGTGCAGAGGTGGCCGGTGATCAGCAGACACCCTGCGTGCCAGCCTCTTCTTGCTCTGACCCAGCCTCTGACGCCCTGGGACAAAAGCAGCCCTCGGTCTTCATTCAACAGACACTTCCCAAGGGCCTCCTTTGTGCTGGCCCTGAGCAGAGGATGTGAAGACAAGAAAGCGGGGGTCCAGGGCTCGTGCGGCAGGGCCCCCAGCCCTCCGACGGCTTCATACGCACCAAGACCTGCGGCCACTTCCCACCCACTGCCTGGGCCTCCGGCCCCAGGCGGCCCTGCCCCCCGGGGCTGTAGGGGTCTGGGGCCTTCCCGGGAGCCCTGCCGCACCCCCTCACTGACCATGCCCTGGGTACGCCCAGCCTTAGACTCTGTCACAGTCAGCCTCTGAGAGGACCCCAGCCCCAGTCAAGGTCTGACTGCAAGACACGAGAGACCCCAGGCAAGAACCACCAGGCTGAGCCCAGTCAGAGACAATAACAAACGATTCTCTGGCTTCACACAACTAAGCTGGGGTGATTTGTTTCACAGATACAGACAGTAGGAACTGTTGTTACGGCAACATCTCGTAGAGAGTCCATTCCCTTTTTCCCCTGAGTGCTTTAAAACAACGTTAATAGGCCTTTTGAGAATTAGGAGGCATCCTACTGGTTTACAATATTTTCAGGAATCTGCCCCATTCCAATTTCAGGAACCTGGACTGTGTGCGTGTGTGTGGGGGGGTGTCGGATGGGAGTGGGGGTGTGTGTGAGAACACACGCGTGAGTGCACATGTGTATGATTCTTCTTTTCCCATCATTTCTCAAAAATGTTGTAAACATGGCATTGATGCCCTTCAGAACCCTTGAACATAACAAAGCAGGAAACTGGAACTCATTCTAGTAATAACAAGAGCCCTGAGAACTGTCACCTGCAACCTCTCAGGAAATGCAGGTGAGCATCTGATCGCCGCAGTCCAGGATGGCGAGCAGCGTGCTCCCACTCACCCTCTGACTTTACAGACACACAAGCAGAGGCCGAGAGCGCCTAAGCGCTTGGCGCAGGTCACACATAGAGGGGTCTCTCTCCTGCCTCCCCCGCCCCTTTCCATCTCAGGCACACGCTGCATTTCCCTTCGCAGCGCACCCCTTTGAGGATGGCTACGTCTCGTTTAGCGGTCTTTGGCAGCTCGAACACCCCTCACGGGAGGGCCAGCCTTCTTCTGAGCGTTTCTGAAAGTGCCTCCGCCCGTGACCCTGGCTCATCTCCCGTTTGGCCCCTCCGGCCGCGTCTCCCCTCCTCCTTCTGTCTCAGTGTACTTCTTACTTAGACCTTGCTGCCCCACTGCCTCCATCTTCCCTTCTGCCGGGACTCCAAGGACCTCCAAGCCCCCCGCTTTGAGTCTCAGCCACGCCTTTCCTCTCCACACCGTCAGCGTCTGCCCTTCCACAGGCTCCTCCAGCCCCTGCCTTCCCCACTAAGCATTCCAGGATTCTGGGGTCACGGCCTGACCTCCACGTCCCTCCAGGAGTGGATTTCTCCCCAGACCTCTTTGGGGTCAGGCAGACATTCTGACAAAGCCCAAACTCAGCGCCTGGGGGACACTGGAGTCAGGACTCCTAGAAAACTGAGGGCCTGGTGGGAGCAGCGGGCTGCTGGACTCAGCGCAGTGGGGGTGCAATCACAGGCAGGCCCGTGGCGGCGGGCAGGCAATGCTTCTTAGGCAGGTGCTGCCCGAGCACTCTAGAATCCGCGCAGGCTCCCAGTACCGTCGTCAGCAGCGTCATAAACCCCAGGCTCCATCCCTGGACCAGGCTGTGTGCTTTTGCCACCATAGACCTAGCTTTGTCTGCCCCTCCCGCGCCAGGCGGGGCCCAGGCGCCTCCCACGGCGCCAGCCCCTCCTCCCAGCCGCCCTGCCCTGTGCCCAGCCCTCACCCCACATGCTTCCCGCTGTACCTGAATTTGTAGTTCTCAGGCAGGAAGTAGCCCATCTTGCAGTCCTGTCGCGCCTGGAAGATCTGTTTCAGCAGGTTCTGCCTGCTGAAGCCATAGCCGTTCAAAACACAGCCCCCAAAAAGTAGCTTTCCCCCAGCGAACATCTGTTGACACGAGAAGGAAACAGTGCGCGTTGCCCTCAGCACTAAATCTCAGGACGGGCTGCTGGCTCTCAGAGCCTGTTCCCGGATCCGAGCCTCCCTTTGGTGGCTCCAGGGAAGGGCGTGCTCTCGCCCAAGTGCCCCAGTGAGTGTGGCCGAGCCTGTCCCCTAGCCAGACTTCTGGGTCAGAGGGCGGCCTCAGCGTCCCAGCCTTTGCTCCCTGCAGCCCTGACCGGCTGAAACGCCCCTTCCCAGAGCCCTGGGGCAAGAAAGTGTCTTTCTTCTCAGAGGCCGCCGACCCGCTCGGACGGGGGCCCCGCAGGCAGGAAACGTAGTTCCTCCTACTGCTCTCTGAACCCCTACCCTCTACGTGTCAGTCTCAACCTGAGAGGCCTGTGCAAGGATGCCTGTTTGTTACGGCCCAGACCAACAAGGAAATACAGAAACATTCAACAGAAGGAACACGAGTAGAGAAATAGAGAGATTCTTACGCTGCAGATAAAAATCATAATTAAAAGCAGGATCTCAAAGTCAGAACATTCTTGGGCAGGCCAGACACCAAAATGTGAGCAGGGTGTGCCCCAGGGCTCCTCAAAGCACTGGTGCCGCCAGGCGCCCAGTGGGAACAATGAGGCCATCTGGGGGAGATGATACAGTGATTCTCTTTCTAAACTGCATTTTCCAAAATCTCTACAACGAATATACATGCTTACATGATATCCTGTATTTAGATAAACAGTACTTAAAAGCAAACAGGTGAAGAGGATTTGTTTCTCCGGGTGAAGCATCCCCTGCCCCTTCAGCCTCCTGGGATGGGGGACACGTGGGGTCAGCCTGGGATGGAAGGCTGGGCTCGGGGGACGAGGGTCCCGGCTGCAGCCCCAGCTCATGTGCTGGGGGCCCCTCGGTCTGTGCTCCTCTCTGGGCCTCGGCCTGGCCCCTACGCCTGCGATTCTGCAGAGGCCAGGGTGGCGGGCAGCGGGCGGCGGGGGCCCCTGGGCCCTGGCTCACCAGAATCATGCCCTGCATCACAGCGTACTTCTTCACCAGCAGAGGCGGGTCCCTCTGCAGCGGGCTGTCCACGTCGTAGCGCAGCAGGCGGTAGGGGTCATGCCGGCACTGCCGAGACAGAAAGGAGTGCCTGTAGCCCCCACGCCAAGGAGACGCACTGAGATTCCCGTGTTCTCAGCCAGGTCGGGCTCCCCTGAGCCCCACACCACAGCACCCCAACTCCTGCCCACGGGCCCTTCAGCCCCTGCTGTGCAACCGTCCCTTGACCCCTCCCCTGACCATCCCCAGAGGATGTCTCGGGTCCAGTCAGGGCCCTGTACTGGTGAAGGTTATCGCAAAGATGACTGTTCACACCACGTGACATCCATGAGCCTCCTGGGGTCTGCAGGATTTGTTTCTCCCCTTTACCTGGGAGAAGCCCTGCAGAGATCTGCAGGTGAGTCCTGTTCCCAGGGGTCCCCCTTTCCAGGACTCCTCCCTGCTCTATCCAGACTGGCTGGCTGCCCCTCTGAACACCCCCAGTCACCCAATCCAGCCAGAACCTGAACTGGACATATACTTCTGGGTATAGCCTGGTCCGTCCAGAGTAAAGCTGGTCTCTCTCCTCTCCTCCCCGATGCTACAGATCCAATGATATGACTACTGTGTAATGTGACATCTTCTGATTTTATCTGTCTTTTGTTCCAGGTGCCCCTAGCTGTCCTGTCTGCCTTTCAGTTTAAAATGTGAAACTCTGCACCCAGGGTTCCAGTTATCAGAGCAGGAGACCATCAGGGAACATTTCTGCCTTAACCGAAGACCCCAGAACGGTGGAATCAGAGTCACCATGAGACCCAACCCTACCCCCGGGCCCGTCCTCTGTCCTCAAATCACGCCGCTCAGCCCTGCACTGCTTCAATCAGCTGAGGCCAGACCTGCGCCATTCATACTGCCCATGCTGGGCTGCCGTGCCTTCCTGTTCTTCCAGACAGTCATTCGTGAACAGCAAATGGCCCTGAGACAAACTAAAGTCAACGCTAATCTCCCACATGGCCAGGGATGATATCCATACACGGGCAGATGCAGTAATAATGCTCATGGAATCCAATGAAACTGGAACTGGCTCCAGAAAACACACGTGGCTTTGATGTGTGAGCCCCTAGGAAGTCTTCCGGCATCCGATCAGAACGGTTCCATTGCCAAGCCCTGGGCCCTGGCCGGCATGCAGACCCGAGGGAGGGAGGGAGGTGGCACCTGGGGAAGAGGGCTGGAGGGGCATGCCCAGGGCACACGTGGAGATTCAGCTCTCAGGGCTGCAGCTGGAGGACAGGGCCACGCCGTGGGTCTCAGAGGCCACAGGGCACCGAGGCACCGAGGCAGTCAGCAGGCCGACACGGAGCTCTCGTGCCCACACGTGCCCACACCTGGGCCCTCCGCGCCCCACGGCCTGAGGACGGGGCCACACCGTGGTGTGCCAACCCTGCCTGGAACGGCTAAGGCTTGGGAACAACTCTGCAGCACGGGGACCGGGGGGATTGCACGCACCCCGGACTGACTGACCCCGGGACTTCAGGCACAGCGAGCTGGAACCTGGAGCAGCCACTCCCCACCCACCTTCGCACAGGCCGCTGCCTCTGCTGGGAACGCCCACCCACCAGCCAGAGCCTCTCTTCCTGGGAGACGTGGGCTGACCCTGAGGCAGGCGGCCCTGTTCTGGGATCCTACAGGCCCTGTCCTCTCACGGCCCGCGCCGGGGCCGCCATGAGTGCCCCCCTGGGCACAGGACCCACACTGGGGTGCTCGGCCACGAACACACCAGAGCCCTGAGGGCCTCATGGCGAGCGCAGCTCCTCTAAATACTCAGTCTAGTGCGTGACCACCATGTGCAGCTTGTGGTCTGGGAGAAAACGGCAGCACCCTGATGGGTCTCAAGGCCAGAACAGGCCCCCACCTCGAGTGGCGGCATTCCTCGGGGACAGGAGGATGGGTGGGAGAGAGTAGGAAGAGTGTGTGCGAAGGCCCAGGAGAAAGGCGATGGAACAGGGCCCCCAGGCACTCAGTCAGAGGCCGAGCCCATCCCAGCCCCGGGGGGGGGAGGTCTCCCCTCCACCCGCCTCCTGGGCCGGCCCGGGACTCACCTGGATGCAGGGAGAGGCGCGGCCCTGCTGCCGGGGGCTGTAGAGTGTGTCCAGCAGCCACTGGAGCTGCCCCGACTTGGTGGGGTTCCGGCCCGACACGATCCCAAACACCAGCACCTGGCTGGGGTCTCGGGGCGCCGACAGGAAGCGCTCCAGCTCCACGTCGGACACCAGGGGCACCTTCACCATACACTTGCAGCCGGCCTGGATGTCCTCTTTGCTAATGAGCTTCCGCAGCACCAGGGGGCAGTCGGAGAGTGAGGCCGCCCACCTGGTGGGGCTGCGAACCTCTCTGGTCTTCCCTCTGCCAGGAAGAACAAACAGTGGTACTCAGCGGGCGAGGCGCAGGTTCCAGCAGCCCAATCCCAGATCTAGGTGGACAAAGGCCACGTGACCACAGAGTTGGAGTCGAGATCCAGGCAGTTCTAGCCTGGCCTCTGCCACCAATATGCAGCTGTGCCTTCAAGGGGCCCCCTAACCTCTCTGTGCCTCAGTTTCCTTTGATGCAAAGCAGTATTCACAAGGGAATTCATCCATCCAACAGACTCTGGAATCATCCTTAACGCCTTTCTTTCTCACACATCTCATGTCCCATCCAGTCCATCAGCAAGCCTGTCCACTCTACCTTCAAAACAAATCGAGGATCCGACCATTTTCCCTGCCTGCACTTCTAGTAACACATCTAAACCTTCAACTGCTCTTGCCTGGCTGTTCAATTATCCTGTTATAACCAGGTGGCTCAGCTGGTAAAGAATCCACCTGCAACGTGGGAGACCTGGTTCGATCCCTGGGTTGGGAAGATCCCCTGGAGAAGGGAAAGGCCACCCACTCCAGTACTCTGGCCTGGAGAACGCCAAGGACTGTATTACAGTCCATGGGGTCGCAAAGAGTTGGACACGACTGAGTGAATTTCACTTCACTTCCTAACCAAGTCACACCCAAACATAGACAACTTATGATTACCAAAGGGGAAAAGAGTGTTGAGAGATAAATTAGGAGCTTGGGAAGAACGTATACACACTACTGTACATAAAATGGGGTTTCCCAGGTGGCCCAGTGGTAAAGAATCTGCCTGTCAATGCAGATTCATGGGTTCGATCCCTGGGCTGGGAAGATCCCTGGAGGAGGAAATGGCAACCTACTCCAGTATTCTTGCCTGGAAAATTCCATGCACAGAGGCGCCCGGGGGGTTAGAGCTCATGGAGTTACAAAGAGCAACTGCACATGCACGTATATGCAAAAGGCCCATACAAAAGATGAGCAACAAGGACCTGTTCTATAGCACAGGGAGCTCCGATACTGGGTGATAACCTGTGACTCTGTAACACCATTTCAGGAAAATAACCTGAAGAGGTGTGTGTGTACTTATTGTATGCCTGAAATGTCATTAATCAACTAGATGGTTGTTGTAATTAGTCACCAGGTTGTATCCGCCTCTTTGTGACTGCATGGACTACAGACCGCAAGACTCCTCTGACCATGGGATTTCCCAGGCAAGGATACTGGAGTGGGTTGCATTTCCTCCTCCAGGGAACCTTCTTGACCCAGAGATTGAATCCTTGTCTCCTTCACTGGCAGGTGGATTCTTTACTACTAAGCCACCAGGGAAGCCCATTAATCTATTACACTGTAATTAAAATTTTTTAGGAGCCAAGTCACTCCATGTCACTACTCTCTTCGAAACCCTTCAGGTGCTTCCCATCTTCACAGGATAAAAGCCAAAGTCCCCACAATGCCCTCCAAGCCTGTGCTTGATCCGGCTCCTTTCTCAGCCCCTTATTCCCCTCCAACAGTCTCAGCTTTGCTCGCTGCACCAGCCGCGCTGGTCTTTTCTCACCCTCCAACCTCAGGGCCTTTGCACCTGCTGTTCCTTCTGCCTGCCTGGCTTTCCCCCCAGACACCCACTTTCTCACCTTCTTCGTATCTCTATGCAAATGTCACCTTCCCAGTGACACTTTCTCTGACCGTCCTGTTAGGAACTGCATCCTTCCACCACCAACACATGTCCCCCGTCCTTGCCTATTTTCCTTAGCATTGCTCACAATCCAAAACGATATACATTTTGCCTATTTATTTTGGTTATTTTATTTCTCCATCCCAACAGAACAAAAATTACATGAATCCATGAGTCTGGAGAGTTCTACTCAGCAGGATAATAGCAAAGATTCAACTGTTGCTGTTCAGTGGCTAAGCTGTGTCCGACTCTTTGTGACCCCATGGACTGCAGCACACCAGGCTCCCAAGTCCTTCGCTATCTCCCAGAGTGTGCTCACATTCATGTCCATTGAGTCGGTGATGCCATCCAACCATCTCATCCTCTGTCACCCCCTTTGCCTTTGGCCTTCAATCTTTCCCAGCATCATGGTCTTTTCCAATGACTTGGCCTTTTGCATCAGGTGGCCAAAGTATTGAAGCTTCCACTTCAATACCAGTCCTGCCAATGAATATTCTGGGTTGATTTCCCTTAGGATTGATTAGTTTGCTCTCGTGGCAATCCAAGAGACTCTCAAAAGTCTTCTCCAGCACCATAATTCAAAAAAATCAATTCTTTGGCACTCAGTCTTCTTTATGGCTCAACACTCACATCTGTACATGACTACTGGAAAAACCATAGCTTTGACTAGATGGACCTTTGTCGGCAAAGTATTATGTCTCTGCTTTCTAATTTGCTGTCTAGGTTGGTCATAGCTTTTCCTCCAAGGAGCAAGCGTCCTTTAATTTCATGGCTGCAGTCACCATCCACAGTGATTTTGGAGCCCACAAAAATAAAGTCAGCCACTGTTTCCACTGTTTCCCCATCTACCTGCCATGAAGTGATGGGATCGGATGCCATGATCTCAGTTTTTTGAATGTCGAGTTTTAAGCCAACATTTTCACTCTCCTCTTTCACCCTCATTAAGAGGCTCTGTAGTTTCTCTCTGTTTTCTGCCATTAGAGTGGTATCAGCTACATAACTGAGGCTGTTGATATTTTTTTCCAGCAATCTCAATTCAAGCTTGTGATTGATGCAGCATAGCATTTCACACAATGTTGTACTGTGCATAGAAGTTACATAAGCAAGGTGACAATACACAGCTTGTTGCACTCCTTTCCCAATTTGGAACCCCTCAGCTGTCCCAGGTCTGTGTCTAACTGCTGCTTCTTGACCCACACAGAGGTTTCTCAGGAGACAGGTAAGGTGGTCTGGTATTCCCAACTCTTAAAGAATTTTCTGCAGTTTCCAGTGATCCACACATTCAAAGGCTTTAGCAATAGTCAATGAAACAGAAGTAGATGTTGTTCTAGAATTCTCTTGCTTTCTTTATGATTCAATGAATGTTGGTAATTTGATCTCTGGTTCCTCTGCCTTCTCTAAACCCAGCTTGTACATCTGGAATTTCTCAGTTCACGTACTGCTGAAGCCTAGCTTGAAGGATTTTGAGCATAATCTTGTTAGTGTGTGAAATGAGAGCAACTGTATGATAGTTTGAACATTCTTTGGCATTGCACCTCTTTGGGGTTGGAATGAAAACAGATCCTCATAAAATAAAATGGACAGTCTCTGTGGACCTACAGGATCTAACAGACATACACATACTCTATGACAGCAATTTCACACCCTGGAATATTCCAACTAGAAAGAAGGACATATGCAAACACCAGCATGGTTTGTCATTACCCAAATGGAAACGGTAACCAACCTAAATATTCGTCAACATTAGGATGTGCAAAATTTTTAGTGTAATCCTACAATAGATTATTACATAGCAATGAAAAGCAGCAGTGATTCTGCCACACACAACCATGGATAAATCTCACAGTATAACATTGAGCAAAAGAGGCCAGACACCAAAGGATACATACTGAATGGTTCTATTGAAATAGTTAAAAAATAAACACTAAGCTATGATGGGAGATCTCTTCCTGTTGGGGAGGAGGTGGGATTACTGATTGGGAGGGGAAAAAAGGGAAATTCTATTTCTTGGGGCCAATGGGGTATGCTCACTTTGGGATACACACTGAGCTATACACTTAGGATTTTTTAAATTTTTCTGTGTATTTTATAAAAATTTTTAAAGCATAAAAGAGATACCTTGATCCTATATATTTTTCTAAGTTTTCTTAAAACCTCATGAATCAGATGGTGTCACTTCCAGCCTTACAGTTATGGAACGGCTTCCTCTAAGCCTCCGAGATCTACCTGGCCCAGCTCCTGCCTGTCTTTCTGTGATCACTTTGCATCCCTCTCCCATCTCCCTCACGATGCTCCACCCTGGTCTTCTCACTTTCCCTCATACACACCAAACTTGTTCTTGACTCAAGGTCCCTGTACTTGTTTCGTCCTCTGCCTCATGCTCCTTCTCCATCCTTTGTTTCTAATCCCTCAGGCTTCCGCTAATGTTATCTCTTCAGAACTGCTTCCCCAACTGCCTCCCCATGCTCAGGGCTGGCTGGATGATAAAAAGCCTAGGCTTTGCAGGGCCAGCGGTCTCGGTCACAGTGACGCACCATTTTTGTCCTCGCAGGAAAGCTGCTACAGACCACAGATGAATGAGTGGGCGTGGGCGTGTCCCAATAAAACCTTACTCATGGGTCCTGACATTGGAATTTCCTATCATTTCACATGTCACAAAAAATTCTATTAACTTTTTTCCTCCCAAGCATTTAAAAACATAAAAATGACTCTTAGCTAGCTCACAAACAAAGCAGGCAGTGAGGGAGCCAGATGTCAGCCCTGGCCGTAGTTTGCCAGCCTCTGCTCGAACCCATTTCTACTTTCTTCCCAGGCTTTCTCCCCATCTGAAGTGTTTCAGCTGTTCCCATGTTTCTCTTCTATCTGTTCTCCCTCGGTTTTGCCCAGTGTTGTGAGTCTCCTGCCCATCTCAGCATCTGACACAGGAAGCCCACCTGCGTGGGGCCGTGGCCCTGGTGTGGGGCTTGCCGGGCTTCTTCCGCGTGGGGCTCACAGGAGCCGACTCGGGCTCCTCCTTTGGGGCCCCTTCAATCAGGGACTCGGGCCGGGCTGACTGCGACCGCAGTAGGAGCACATCTCCTGAGTACAGGCTCAGCCTGGCGCTGCGCTCCGGGAAGAGCCCGGACTTCAGCCTGGCCCGGCTGACGTCTGCCTCTTCCTTCACTGGGTACTTGATGGTGAACAGGCCTGTGGACAGAAGACCCTGGGGTCACTCCCCTGGCCACCGCGCCTCCTCGGAGGCTGCCCGGCTCGCCTCTCCTCTCCAGCCTGCACTCCTAGGGTCTGATGCAGGACTGCCCCCACCACTGCTGTCTGGCCCAGCGCGGGTGATGGTCGGCCAGAGCTGGCAGAATGGAAGAACAGATCAGTCTCCGTTCTCACCCTCTGTCAAGAGCCCCGCTCAGATACCTCCTGCCCCGGGCACCTGGGTTTCGTTCAGCTTTGTCCTCCTACAGTCTCTGTGGAGGCTGGGTGCCCGACGCGTCCCCGCTGTTCCCGGGGCCTCCCTCTCTGTTCCCGGCTGTACTTGTCTTTTTCTTTTGCTTTCTCCGCTAGACTGGCCAGAGACCTCTCATTTCTTCACTCACTCACCAAACGTTTCCTCAGTGCTGGGCACTGGGCAGAAAGATGACCCTGCGCAGGGTTCCCTGCCTCTAGGCACTCCAAGCAGGAGTCGGGGACAGAGATGGGAAAACAAAGAAATGCTCATAATGCTAGGTGGGAAGGCTTATAATTACAGCATGGATGGGTGCTGTGGTAGCCCAGACGGGTGTGAGACGTTCTGCTAGAAGGCATGGGAAGGCTTTCCAGAGGCAGGCGTAGCTGAGCTGAGTATCACTCCCCAGGGAGGCCGTGGGGGCACCACAGCCCCTGTGCCCAGCCAGGGGGTGGCGTGGGGTGGGAGAATCAATGCTTCTTCGTACCCAGGCCCATGAGCAGTGAGGAGGGGAGCCCAGACGTGGGAGGGGTCTTGAGGCCACCCACGCCAGCCCTGGGGGACTCTGCGGGCCTGACAGGGACAGCCTGGTGACTTGGCTGCTTTTCTGTCTTCTACCAAGACCTTCAGCAATGAGAGGAACAGTGGGTGCAAGTGGATGATGGACGATATGGGAGAGGGAGCCAAAAAGTGAACCCTGTGTGGGTGGGGGTGAGGACAGAGAGAACATCAGAAAGACCAAGAGAGAGCCAGCAAAAGGCAATCACGTGGAGACATAAAGACACGCAGAGAGCTCTCAGAAGCTGAGGCTGGCAAAGGCCACCGCTATCAGCTGAGCAGCCCTGAGGAAGCTCCCTCCCCACGCTGAGCCTGGTCATCCCATCACCAATGGGGAATCCTGCTGCGCCATCTCCCTGGGGTGCTGAAGAGCTGTCCTTGGAGGTGATCTCAAGGTGGCCCAGGATCTGGGAAGCCCTGGGACAGGACTGCACCCCCGTTTCTGCCTCCCTACCTGCCGCCAGCAGGATGGAGTTCATGAACTGGGACACTGTCTTCTGAAACCTCCTCTTGATCTCTGCCAGGGCCCGGCTCATCTTAGATATCTTTTCGTCCATGCTGCTCATTCTGCGGGTTATCTAGGGAGAGGCCGAGGGAAGGGCATCGTCAGCAGCCCCGCCAGAATACATCTGCCCAACACAGTGACCGCAGGGGTGGCCTTGGCACAGAGGACGCGCTGTCCCTGCAGGGGGCCCACCTTGTCCTCTCGGCCAAGTGAATTCCTGCACGCTGACTTAACCCGCCTCAGATGTCCCTCACCCCTAGGGACGCTGGTTGGTTTGGGCATAACTGTTCCTTGCCTTGGACCCCCACTGTGCTCTCTATGCAGTCTGAAGACAGAGGTTAGGTAGCCCTTTGTGATCAGCTGCGTGGAAGACCGTCTCCCCAAAAAGACTCCAACCTCCTGGAGGACAAGCATCAGCTCTTGGTCTTCTCTGTATCTGGGAGCCAATCACACAGAAGGCGCTCAGTTTATGCGTGTTGTATTATGAATAGCTGGATGGACAAATGTTCTTGGGAGCCTCTGCTGCCTGCATGACCCTCAGAACCCTTTTCACCCTGCTGACAGCTCTCAGCTGAGAGACCGTCATGTACCAGGGTTACATAGGCTGACCGGTACCCATGGGCACCAGGCCAGGTCTCTAGCTCAGTGTGGGATGACTACGAAGGGCCACTTTGGCTCCAAGGCTCCTGGGAGGCAGTCAAGGCCATCCTGCAGGTCAACCTCTGCAGGAGAAGCTTCTGTAAATAATGCCCTGATTAACAGCAAAGCCTCAACCATCCTTCTGATGGTTGGTCCCAACCTCTGTCTCTGGGCTAATTTTAGTTATTTTTCATTTATACCCAGTCTTGCTTCCAAAAAGGATTTGAGGCAGTACTGAGTGAATAAAGCATTTAAAATGAGGCATTTCCTTGCTTCCAAAGTGCTGCCTTGATAGAAATATTTAGTGAGGAGTCTGACTGCAGGGCCATAAAATCTGGGACTGCCACTCTGCCTGTCACTCTGATGGGTCATTCCTTCCAGGACACTGTGTGTCTGGGGAACCATTTAACAAGTTTTCCAGTGACAGGGACTGTGAGGGAAGAGGCCACCTTACCCGCACCCCTCAGCTTCCCTGGATGGCCACAGGTTTGCCGATGGGTGACAGGTAGCCACACGCGCACACACACACACGCACACACTCACACACATACACATACATACAGACACACACTCACACACACACACAGACACACACACACACACATACACACATGCACACACACATACACACTCATACACATACACACATACATATACACACACATACACATACAGACACACTCACACACTCACACTCATACACATACACATACACACACATACATACACACACATGCACGCACACACACATGATGGAACTGAACGGAATTTTTAAATCCCAGTAAAGAAGTGTGGGAAAGCTGGGTGGACCTTTACACATCACTAAACAAATGGGGAATCTGAGACCCAGGAAGGGATGGTAGATGGGATGGCCCGAGGCCCCCTCCTAGACATGGTGCTCTCTCTCTCAAGATTTCATATAAAAATATTCTGAGATGTTAACCTGCAAGCTAGGGTTGACATTTGAAAATCCTGTTACCCACAATAAGCCTGATATTTCTTCATTTGTTGTTTTTCTGGTCAGAAGGCTGTAAAATCCAGTACACCACCCTGCATTCTCAAAGAAAAGGGGTTATGACAAGGACACTTTGGGGCAAGTCAGTTTCCTCTGTCAACATCAACATCTAGACTATCATCTAGAATGCAGTAGTTTTCAGAAGCTGTTTTAATGTATTTGCCTGTTTATCCATACACTAAGTGTACCCAAGACAGTTATGCTTTTAGAGGTATAACGTTCATATATGATTTCAATACCTTCAGACCATGAAATTTTTGCACCTTGTTTTATGTTGCTGGATATGTTCCAGTGTTTCCTACTTTCAGTCTATGAGCACGTACATAGAATTTATATCCTGCTGTTGTGTGAAAATTGTATATCTAAATCTTAAGTATGTTGAATTGGTTCATAGTGCCCTTCATGTCTACTGTATCCTTCTACTTTTTCCAATCTATTCATTCTATTAACTTTTGAGAGTTTCATGTTGAAACTCCAACTAAAATCTTAATTTCTCTACTTAAAAAATAACTATAATATCTAGTAGAACTGTACATAAGTTTGTTCTGTATTTTTCAAATCTCCTGTAAATGTGTTCTCATACTTTTATAATTTAAAAAAATAAAAAAGAAAGAGTTACACTGTTCTTGTTAATAAACAACTTTCAGCTTCCTTCTACACCATCAGCCTCTGTAAGCTTCCTGTAGTGGGAATTCCACCTTTAGACTCTCACTGTAGATCTGCTAGAAATATAAAGTGAGCTGCACATGTGGTTTTAAATGTTCCTAAAACCACATTAAAAAGTTCTCAGAAGATGAAATCAATTCTAATAACATATTTATCTAACACAATACGTCAAAAATATGATGACTGCAACATGTAATCAAAATAAATGATCAATAAGAACTGTGACATTCTCTTTCATACTGAGTCTTTGAAATGCGGCGTGTGCTTTCACTTCCAGCCCATCTCAGCCTCGAGTTGTCACACTTCAAGTGCTCAATACGCATTTGTGACTCACAGCTACCGTGCTGGAACACAAGGCTCTGGACCCCTGATTCTAGCTCACGAAGGCTGCATTTAGTGAAGGAAACATAAGATGTGAACGACTGTGGGGCTTTCCGAGGCCCAGGGGGCATGTTTGGCATGTGGACTTAGAGTGATTCTCTCGGCCGTTTCACAAGGGTCTTTAGCTACTTACATCCTGGTTCTCAGCCCTGCTCCAAATGTGAAAGATTATCAGACAGGAGGGTGCCAGAACAAAGATGCATTACTGCAACTTTACGGGAACAAACTTTTTCTATTGCCTACTGCCTTGATAAGTCACTGCACATTTAAAAATACAGTATAAAAAGGTTTTCAAGAAATATAGGCATGGGACTGCATACATTCTGTGTACTTAGTCACCCAACAGTGACATTTAGAGTAAGAGCAGGGGACCAAGTTGGCAGAATGGACTCAGTGCTCAGCACAGTCATTTGTCTCAGCCCTCAGAGACTCAAAACCCTGGGGTTGCTTCGGTCTTTGGTGTGGGGAGTGTAGGCTGAAGTCACAGGCATCTGAGATTCCTGGCTGCTTGATGAGACCCTTGAATGAACCCAGCACTCCCTCAGCTCCCCTCGCTCACCTACCCCAAGCCAGTGAAGCTGCATCACAACCACAGTGATGCTTTTGCCCCTTCCGTTAGACTGAACGTATTTCATAGATGAGGAGGAGTGAGGCTTCTTAAATATCCCTGGTGGCCAATCTAGCACATGGCAGGTGCCAATTTATGTTTATTGAATTAACTAATCAATTAAAAAAGTTGAAATGCTACTGAAATATAAGAAAAAACAGTGCAGCGCTTCCCTCCAGGAGAAACACAGGTGTCCTCTGTATCTTGTTCAGATAACACTGGTCTCCAATAAATGTCTGCCTCTCCTGTGCCCACAGAAAGGGAAACTGGGACACTTCTGAGAGTGAAAGTGAAGTGAGAGTCGCTCAGTCGTGTCCGATTCTTGCCACCCCCTGGACTATATAGTTCATGGAATCCTCCAGGCCAGAACACTGGAGTGGGTAGCCGTTCCCTTCTCCAGGGGATCTTTCCAAGCTGGGGATCAAACCCAGATTTCCCACATCGCAGGTGGATTCTTTACCAGCTGGGCCACAGGGGAAGCCTGAGAGTGACAGGGATGCTACTAATAATTTCTGGGCTGACAGGTGTAAGCCAGGACTGGGCCGGGGAAGACTGGGAGGTGTGGTTCCCATGCTTCCACTCCAAGCGAGCCGGTGCCTGGTGTGTGATGCCGGTGGCTGGTGTGTGATGCCGGTGCCTGGTGTGTGATGCCGGTGCCTGGTGTGTGATGCCGGTGGCTAGTGTGTGATGCCGGTGCCTGGTGTGTGATGCCAGTGGCTGGTGTGTGATGCCAGTGCCTGGTGTGTGATGCCAGTGCCTGGTGTGTGATGCCAGTGGCTGGTGTGTGATGCCAGTGCCTGGTGTGTGATGCCAGTGCCTGGTGTGTGATGCCAGTGCCTGGTGTGTCATGCCAGTGCCTGGTGTGTGATGCCAGTGGCTGGTGTGTGATGCCGGTGCCTGGTGTGTGATGCCGGTGCCTGGTGTGTGATGCCGGTGGCTGGTGTGTGATGCCGGTGGCTGGTGTGTGATGCCAGTGCCTGGTGTGTGATGCCAGTGGCTGGTGTGTGATGCCAGTGCCTGGTGTGTGATGCCAGTGGCTGGTGTGTGATGCCAGTGGCTGGTGTGTAATGCCAGTGGCTGGCACCACCAAGGAGTCCTTGGCTACCCCAGTGTCTCACAGTGAATGTCAACTGTTCTCCTCTAGACTTTAAACTCCTGGGGCATCAGGGACTTTATCCCCTTCATCCTATCCATCTCTCTGCAATACTACGGACCAGGCACACAGGAGGTTCCAGGAAGGCCCAGTGAATGAAGAACTGGGTTTCCAGACTCTGCCACTGTCTCACCTGCCCCCTCAGCGAGTACTCCGTCTAAAGCAGTCCTCATACTGAGTCCAGGGGCAACAGACACAAGTAGGAATCCCCAGTTCAGTAGAGAAGGCTGGCTTATCAATAAAGCAGTGTTGGAACGAGGTGAGTCACGGCTGGAGGGCTGAGTAAGGGGCCAGGACTCTACCTGGGATGGGCAAGGAGGTGGTGGAGAGGATCAACACATGGGCAGTGATTCTGTCCAGCACCATTTCTCCCTCTTCCGGCAACAGCACCAGAGTCTCTCTTCAGGAACACCCTCCTGCCTAGTCCTTTGCCCAAGTGGTATACCAGGGACTGATCACACCCCTCGGCTCCTGGGCTGGACATGACACTCAAGCCTGGCCAGTGAGAGCATCACACACTTCTGGCCACAGAGAACATTCCAGGCATGGGCACCAGATGGGGCTAATGATGTTGCTGTTGGCACCTCTACTAGAACACATAGCAAAGAGAGGTTCTTTTTCTCTTGGGAAAACCAAAGCTGGAAGAACAGCGAGCCCGGAGAGGCTCAGGACCATCTGGTCACCATAAGGTGAGAACAACTCCTTGAGGACGAAGCCAACGAAGAGGAGGGCAGAGCGAGGGGGTGGGAAGATCTCATAGATCCCTGAGGGCCTGGATGCAGTCGTGCCTGACGCTGCCTATCTACAGACTGACTTTGGTTTACTGAGCCAGCACTGTCTCTCCAAGCTTAAGGTAGCCTGCGCTGGACTCTGAGGCGCCTGAAAGCCACGTGACACAGGTTTCACAGAGAAGGCAGCACTGAAGTCTGACACTCAACGATGAGCAGGGAAAGAGGTCAGGCCTTGTATGGGGTGAGATGCTCTGGGCTCAGGCCCGGGTGACTGGTCTATGAGCCTTACCCGCTTATCGTGCGATATCCCGTGGGGACAGTTGCTGGCCGATATGGGGAGCGTTACTGTCTCATTCATGGAGGTGAAGGTGACCATCATAGAGTCCTGCCCGAGCACCGTCAGCTTCATTTGATCATTCACCTGTGGATGAAGGAACCAGGACTCCGTGGGTCCCTGCTTCTGCTGTCCCACCTGCTGCTTCTGACATACGGCAAAACACAAAACCCCTCTTGGCCTGGGGCTGAGGGAGCCGTGAGATCTCTCTGATTATGATGCTAGAATCTTGCTTTTATGGAGAAGACAAAAGAATCCCCATTTCTCTTTGAAGGATTAGTAGAAAAAGTAAGGATGTTTCTTTACCACTGCCCCTTCCCTTTCCAACATAAACCTGTAAGCAGCTGTGAAGGAGATGGAGGGATCCAATAGCCGAGTCAGCTCTTACCAGGTTGATTTCCCCCACAGAAATGGGAAAAAATACAACAGAACAACTATCCAAAGGATCATAAGAGTGAGCAAAAGCAGGCAGCTTTCTGAGTCAAAACTTAAAAGGACCAACATGGGATGAGTTCTTTCTGGCCCAAAGAACCAAAGGACAAAACCTGGAGCAAATGACAGTCTCAGAAAATTAAGGAGAGATTTACAGAAGGGATAGAGAAATAGAGTCCCAGATGATTTAATTATCAGTCCACAGCTCTAGCTGATCCCTGGACCATGTGTGAACAGTGCAGACTCAAGGCAGCTTACTTCCAGGGAAACAGAAAACTGAACTGAGATTTGAGAAGCTGCCCACTACTGGTGAGACAAAGTTTGCACTGTAACTCTAAGTCCACTGCCTATTAAAACAAAAACAATCAACACATCAGAACTCAGAGACTCCAAAACATAACATCCACAATGTCAGCAATCCAAAACGACTCAACGTGTGAAGAACCAGTGAAGTGTGAGCCATTCTCAAGGCAACAAATAACCAATCCTTTCTGATATGTCCCAGATGTTGAAATTAGCAGACAAAGCTTTATAGAAACTAATTTAACTATGTTTGATAAAGCAAAGAAAGATATACTTACAACGAAAAAATTAGGAAATCTCAGCAGAGAAACAGAAAATATAAAAAACAGCTAAATGGAAATTATAGAGTTGAAAATAAATACCTGGAATTTCTAACCTTCACAGGATTAGCACAACGGCAGAATGGAAATGACAGAATAGTCAGTGAACTTGGAGATATATCCATGTAAATTATGTTATTTGAAAAATAAACAGAAAAATATGGAACAACAACAAAAACAGCAGAGCTTCAGGGGCCTTCAGGACAATCTTAAAAGGTCTAAAATACATGTAATTGGAGTCTCAGGAGAGATGGAAAGAGATTGGAGCACTCCCGCCCCCCCAAAGTAGGGGGAGAAGACTTCCCAAATTTGATGAAAGATGTTAATTTACAGATTAAAGAAGCTCAGTAAATCCCACACAGAATTTATATGATGATAACCACATGCAGACATATCATAGTCAAATTTATAAAACAAAAACAGAAAATCTTGAAAGCAGCTAGAGAAAATGAACAATGATTTAAATAACCACAGATTTCTCATCAGAAACTATGGAGGACAGGCACAATGGAACATCTTTAAAATGCTAATTTTTTAAGAAGTCAAACAGAATTCCATACCCAGCAAAAATGTTTTTTCATAAAAACATTTTCCACATGAAAAACAACAGAATTTGTTGCCAGAATAAATTCATTTCAAGAAATGCTAAAGGAAGTTCTTCAGGCTGAAGAGAAATGATACCAGGAGGAAAATGGATTTTAAGGGAGGAATGAAAATGCTAGGAATGGTAAACATCTGGGCAGAAACAAACTGGCCACTGCAGCCTTCAAGACAGCATGCAAACTCCTCAGCCTGAGATCCAGCGCCTCTCGCCCCCACCCCATGACACACACAGCTCCTGGCTTCTTGCACAAAAAGCACCCGTGAACTTTTAACAATGCCACAGTGACGCCTAACTCTGGAGATGCTGTTCCTCTACCCAGAGTTCTTCCCCTCCTTCTTATCTGTATCTGTGAAAACAGTATGCACACTCGTGTTACAGCTCAAGGCCACCTTGTCTTCCAGGCCACTCCTGACTGCACCAGACTCTGCTGTGCATTTCTGCATGCAGCTCTAGGGCCTAGAAGAATGAACTGAAACACACTGCTGAAACGCGTCAGTGATGTTAAAGCACCCTCCCCACCATTGTTTCATTTAGTTCCCACAAAAGCAGTGTGAGGCAAGGACGGAGGCTCTGGTGACCCACCTTGTACTGATGAGACACCAAGACTCAGAAAAGCTGAGTGGTTTTTAGAAAGCTGCACAGCCAGGGTTCTGCAAGACATTAGCACTTGGCTCCTCAGATCCTCATCCCAGTTCTCTACTTGGCCACACTGACATATAACATATGGTGCCTGCTTGCGAGCAACTTACAATCTTTTTGAATTGTAAACTTTTCATACAACTACAAAATGTTAAATATTAAGGCAATAACACTACACCTCTGGACTGGGGAGCTGGGACCTGGTCAAGCAATAGAAAGACTTGTGAAAACTACAAAATCCAGAACCTGTGGAAGACTAACTGAATCCGGATCTCTCTGGAGCTGTGTCTGGGGTCTGTATTTCTGCTAAAAGTGCCACGGGTATTCAGCCACAACTTAGAACCTCTTCACTGCATAACTAATTGTCCAATGACTGAAATTCCTCATTTCAGTGTGGACTATCTTTTAATCCAGACAGTGGGCCCTAGAAGAAGAGAGAAATGGGCGTGAACTGGAGAGCCACAAAGATAGGAAGTCTGAGTAGGGCTTTGAAGGAAGAATGATCTGGATTGGCAGAGAGAGAAGACGTATTTCAGGCCAATGGGGTGGGAAAGATGAGTCATGTTCAAAGACTTGAATATTTCTAAACAGAGGTATGGACTACAGGAATTGACTTAAAAGAATGAGAATCCAGCGGCCAACGTAGAGGATGAACAGGAAGGGCATGAGACAGGATGCGCGAGCCCCACCATAAACTCCAAGAGCGACTCTCTCTGTAACTCTTACCTTGGATGGATTCTATGTTCTATGATCTTTCTCTGAATCCCAACCCACGAGCGAATCCCTGCCTCACAGTGCTTACCGTCCTCCACCACATGTTATTCCCCTAGGCTTCTAAGTTCCTTGAGGGGTATAATCTATCTTTCTATCCCCAAGGTCGGTGATTTTACACAATGGGTGATTTTTGCCCCTCAGAGAACATCTGGCACTGTCTGGAGATATTTTTGGTTGTCATAACTAGGAGAGTGGGTATCACTGGCATCTGGGGTGATACTGATAAATATCCTACAATGCACAGTTATCACAAAGAATTACCCATCTCAAAATGTCAGTGGTCCCAGGGATGAGAAACTCTGCCAAAGTAAAGTGATAAGCACACCTAATTTGCTTTATTAGTAAATTACTGTAATTAGTTATTATTTAGTACTAGTAATTCAACATTAACTTATTAACCAGTAAATCTTTGAAAAATAGCTTAACAACCAAAAGAATGAAAAAAGGATTTTTGTCTATCAGCTACCTTTAATGCTCAGGTTTCTTTATTTCACAGATAGTAAATTACAAAAACAAACACTGACGAGGACCAACATAATATTAACTTTTCTTACTGCCACATTAGACATTAAAAATAAAACTACATTTAAAATAAAACTATCAACTACTATAACAGTTAATTCCTAAAATAAAGGACATGTTTAACTATAAAACATAATATTGTTAATAATAAAAATACAATAGGAAGAATATTACTAAGAAAGGTCAGTACAACAGTTTCTGCAGGCAACTGAAACTTCCACTTCAGCCAATCGTGGGCCCATCAACGTGGGAACCTCTGGATGAGATTACAAGCTCCTAGAGGCCAGGGCTCCCGTCACACGGGCAGCCTCCTGGCTCTTAATGTCCTACCTCTGTGCCCACCCCTACCTTGTATTCCAGAGAGAGTAAAGTCTCTGTCTTGGAAGTCCAGCTCCACTTGTGGACTACATAGCCCTTGTGGTCGTTGGTGATCCCACCTTCCTCGTCCAAGACCAAGACGTATGGGCAGCTAGGAGAGACACATAAATAAGGAGCTGCCTCCATGCCCTTGAAGGAAGCCCTCATCACTACAGGCTATCAGCAGGCAGGACGCTGAGACTCTGCCCTAGATGGAGGAACTGTGGACTCTTGCAAGTAGCCCCACTTCCCCTGCCTAAAATGGTCTGAGGTTCCTTCACATCTGTTGATGCTACTTGGGGGAGTCTGATAGGAAGCGCAGGTCTGAGGAAGACGGTGGAGACTCAGGCTAAACTCAAGGGAGACAGAAATGGAATGTGTGCCTGCAGCCCAGGAGCTTGAGCATGTTAAGATCTCAGGCACTAAAATGGGAAATGGAACATATGTCTCATGAAAGTAAGTCATTCCTTCCAACACAGCTCCTTAAGAGTATCAGACAAAATCCACATTTGGCTGCCAAGAATATGTGCTACCCATGGCCTCTCCTTCACTGTTTCCTAGTATAAAACACTTCTCTTCCCTACAGAATTCTCCCATGAACCGAGCTGCCAGTCAAGATCTCAGTGTTCTGGGGGAACAAGTGGAGCAGGACCTGGGGAGTTCCTCCTCTCGTTGGCCGGGACATGGGTCCGGCAGGTAAGGGCCTCGGGGCATCTGTGTCCGAGGCACCACTTGAGCCCCGCCACGCTGTCTTCCTAGACCTCTGGATGTGGCCGGGCCCCTCCTTTTACCAGGGGCTCCTACTTTCTACCTCACTGCCCCACTTCATTACCCTGAGAGTCTTCCATGGGGCCAAGATTCCTCCCACCTACTCACCGGGCCTTTAAGTTGTAGTGGACACAGCCCTGGCCTTCAGCATTGAACAGGGCCAGGAAGGAGAAGCTGGGTGTGTCGTTAAAGAGGCAGGTGATGGCTCTCCCTCTGCAGCATGTGGGGATCTGACACACGGCGATGTTTCCAGAGGGATAGCTGGCAGAAATGGTTAAGCAGAAATAACAGAAACTCTCCAGGTTCTGCTTTCAGGTGCCTTATGGAAAGCACAACATTGTAAAGCAACTTTCCTCCAATTAAAATACAAATTAAAAAAAAATCCCAATATATGCATAACAGGAGTCCCAAAGATGAAGTAAGGGGACAGAAAGAATGTCTGAAGATATAACGGCTGAAAACTTTTCCGGGAAGATATGGCTGTATATGTTCAAGAAACTCAACAAACTCCAAGTACAATAAATTCAAATAGAGCTACACTGAGACCCATTATTATCAAATGGCATAAAGACAAAGACTCTTGAAAGCAGCAAAAGAAGAGACCTGTCATGTACAAAGGATCCTTAATATGATTGGCCAATTTCTCATCAGAAGACAAGGAGGCCAGAGATACTGGGATGTAATATTTAAAGAGCTGAAAGAAAAAAAGCTATCAACCAAGACTTCTATATTGAGTGAAACTATTCTTCAAAATGAAGAAGAAATTAAAATTTTCCAGATAAACTAAAGCTGAGGGAGTTAACCACTAATACACCTGCCCAACAAAAAATGCTAAAAGGAGTTCTTAAGTCTGAAATGAAAAAACACTTGTTGTTGTTTTTCAGTCACTAAGTCATGACTGACTTTTTGCAACTCCATGGACTGCACACACCAGGCTCCTCTGTCCTCCACTATCTCCCAGAGTTTGCTCAAATTCATGTCCATTAAGTCAGTGATGCCATCTAACCATCTCATCTTCTGCCTCATCCTTCTTCTTTTGCCTTCAATCTTTGCCAGCATCAAGATTTTTTCCAGTGAATCGGCTCTTTGCATCAGGTGGCCAAAGTACTAGAGCTTCAGCATCAGTCCTTTCAATGCATATTCAGGACTGATGTCCTTTAGGGTTGACTGGTTTGATCTCCTGGCAGTACAAGGGACTCTCAAGAGTGTTCTCCAGCACCACAATTTGAAAGCATCAGTTCTTCAGCAATCAGCCTTCTTTCATGGTCCAGCTCTCACATTCATACATGACTACTGGAAAAACCACAGCCTTGACTATATGGAACTTTGTTGGCCAAGAGATGTCTCTGCTCTTTAATATGTTATCTAGGTTGGTCATAGCTTTCCTTCCAAGGAGCGTTTTTTAATTTCATGGCTACAGTCATTGTCTGCAGTGATTCTGGAGCCCAGGAAAATAAAATCTGCCACTGCTTCCACTTTTTCCTCTTCTGTTTGCCATGAAGTGATGGGACCGGATGCCATGATCTTAGTTTTCTGAATGTTGAGTGTTAAGCCAGTTTTTTCACTCTCCTCTTTCACCCTCATCAAGAGGCTCTTTACTTCCTCTTCACTTTCTGCCATTAGAGTGGTATCATTTGCATATCTGAGGTTATTGATATTTCCCCTGATAATCTTGATTCCAGCTTGTGATTCATCCAGCCTGGCATTTTCCATGGTGAACTCTACATATAAGTTAAATAGGCAGGGTGACAATTTACAGCTTTGTCATACCCCTTTCCCAATTTGGAACCAGTTCATTGTTTCATGTCCAGTTCTAACGTTGCTTCTTGACCCACACACAGGTTTCTCAGAAGAGAGTTAAGGTGGTCTGATACTCCTATCTTTTCAAGAATTTTCCACAGTTTGCCATGATCGGCACAGTCAAGGCTTTAGTGTAGCCAGTGAAGAGATGTAGATGTTTTTCTGGAATTCCCTTGCTTTCTCCATGATCCAATGAATGTTGGTAATTTGATCTCTGGTTCCTCTGCCTCTTTGAAATTCAGCTTGTACATCTGGAAGTTCCCAGTTCAGGTACTGTTGAAGCTGAGTTTGAAGGATTTGAGACATAACACTGCCAGGATGTGAAAACACACTTGACAATAACTCAAAGACATACAAAGGAACAGAGAGCTCTAGTAAAGGTGACTACATAAGTAAATACATTATTCAGCTTTATATTATTTATGGTTTACAATTATTCTTTCCCATATGATCTGAAAGAACAATTACATAAAATAATAATTGTAAATCTGTGTTAACAGCACACAATGTACATATAAAGAGTTAGTTTCTGTTAATAAGAAGACAAAGGAGGAGGAACGGAGCTGGACAGGAGCAGGGTCTTATAGCTATCAAGGTTACATTGGTATTTACTCAAACTAATTTGTTGTCAATTGTAATTAATTTCTTGTGGCTACTGTAACTAAGTACCACAAATTGGATGACTTAAACAGCAGTTTATTCTCTCGTGGTCTGGAGTCTAGAAATCTGAAATCGAGGCGCTGACAGGGCCATGTTCTCAGAGGCTCTGGGGAAAAACACTTCCTTGCCTCTTCCTATTTTTCTGGTGGTTACCAAGAATCTTCAGGATTCCTCTGTTTACAGAGGCGTCAGTCTAACCTTTATCTCGATCATCACATGATCTTTTTCTCTGTATGCTTGTTTTCTCTTCTTATGGGGGCACCAGCAGATGAGGACTCACTCTAACCCAATGTGACTGCATCTTGATAACTATATCCCATTATACCAGGGAACCACTAAGGAAATAACTAGAAAATATAGAGAGAGGTAAATCAGAGAGCTATGATATAATTCAGCAGTCCCACTCTTGGGTACATATATGGAGAAAAACATGGTTCGAATGAGCACCCCAGTGCTCACTGCGGCACTGAGTACAACAGCCAAGACATGGAAGCAACCTACATGCCCACTGACAGATGAATGGACAAAGAAAGATGCGGTGCACATATACAATGGAATATTACTCAGCTGTCAAAAAGAACGAAATGATGCCATTTGCAGCAACATAGATGGACCTGGAGATTATCATACTAAGTGAAATAAGTCAGAGAAAAACAAGTATCATATGATACTGCTTATATGCAGAATTAAAAAAAACAGTACAATTTAACTTATTTACAAAACAGAAATATAGTCACAGATATAGAAAACAAGCTTGTGGTTACCAGGAGGGAAAGTGTGTGTGGGGAGATAAACTGGGAGACTGGGGTTGACATATACACATCACTATATAAAAAGCAGAAAACTAAGGACCTACTGGGTGGCACAGAGAATTGTTCTCAATACTCTGCCATGACTAATACGGGAAAAGAATCTTAAAAAGAGTGGATATAGTAAATCAACTATATATCAATTTTTAAAAAGATGAAAAAAATGAAAAAGAGTGGAGATTCACTTCACTGTACAGCAGAAACTACTAACATTGTAAATCAATTATGTTCCAATAAATTTTTTTAAAACATTTATATTAAAGGAGAATGATATCAATTCAACAACTGAACCTTCCACTGTAATGAACTATTAAAAGAAGAGCAAGTTCTCCCTCCCAGGTTAGCGTCTGGGACCTTCTGTGTCACTTCGGGCACAGCGCCGCTCACATCATGGCTTGGATCCGGACTGCACAACAACCTTTCGAGAGACGTGGGTCTTTGGAGCCTCTTTAGTCCCGGAGCTCGGGCCGCAGGCAGCTCCGCGGCGGCGGACGGAAAGAACCTCTGGAATGGACGGACTCTTCCTGAGCAGTTTTGCTAATTTGCAGCAGCTGGACAATGTTCCTCATTGATACCTGTCTGTCGGCATAATCGTCACATCACCTCTCTGGTGGCGGGGACTTGGCTCAAAATCTGTGTAGGAAAAACACCTGGATCCCAGTCTCAATGGCTTCAAGACAACCAGAAGTACCTGCTCTTGAGCCTAGTGGGCCTCTAGGCAAGATGTCCCTGCCCATCGGGATGTACCGCCGGGCATTCAGCTATGATGATGCCCTCGAGGACCCTACGCCCATGACTCCTCCTCCATCGGACATGGGCAGCATCCCCTGGAAGCCAGTGATTCCAGAGCGCAAGTATCAGCACCTCGCCAAGGTGGAGGAGGGAGAGCCCGGCGTCTCCCCGCATGCCCCGGCCCCGGCGTCGGCCAGCGACAGTGAGAAGGCCCCTGTGGTGAAGGCCAAAGCTACCCACATCATCATGAGCTCTTTGATCACAAAACAGACCCAGGAGGACATTCAGCGTTTTGAGCAACAGGCAGGGCTGCGAGATGCTGGCTCTACCCCTCACAAGGGCCTCAGCACTGAGGAGACCAAGTACCTTCGAGTGGCAGAAGCACTCCACAAACTAAAGCTCCAGAGTGGAGAGACAGCAAGAGAGGAGAGGCAGCCAGCCTCCACGCAGTCCACCCCGAGCAGCAGTCCCCAGGCCTCTCCTAAGCAGAAGACCAGAGGCTGGTTCACTTCTGGTTCTTCCACAGCCCTACCTGGCCCCAGTCTTAGCACCATGGATTCTGGAAGCGGGGATAAAGACAGAAGTTCGACCGATAAATGGAGCCTCTTTGGACCAAGATCGCTCCAGAAGTCTGAGTCAGGAGGCTTTGCCATCCAAGCCTACCGAGGAGCTCAGAAGCCTTCTCCAATGGAAGTGATGCACGCACAAGCCGCCCGAAGGGCGGAGGAGCCAGCAGCGTCCAAGCCGCCCAAGATGGACATCCCAGCAACGGAAGGGACGAGACAGCTGCCGCGGGCCCACAGCCTCAAGCCCCGCGACCTGAATGTTCTCACACCCACTGGCTTCTAGAGCTTTCTGTCCCAGGAACGCTGCATTGAGGGTGTCGAGCCCAGCTCCCTTTACCGTGGCTATGACATAGGAAAAGTTTTGTCTTTGTGAAAATCAAACTGAGGCTAGGAGGAGACATAATTGGTTTTTGCGAAACATTAGTGCAAAGCTTATCCTTGTGTGGAAAAGTCATTTTTGTATTGCTCTAGCTTTAGACTAAACTTGAGCAGTGATGTATGGGGACCTCCCTAGAACTGGGCCACCGCTTACTAGGTGACTGTCTGCAATGTTCCAAAACCAAGGCTTCGGGATTCCTTCAGCACTGTCCAGATGCGCATGGACAGACCACGGCGTAGGGACGTCCGCGGACGAGTGCAGGCGGCTTCGGCCTTCGCGGCTGTGCTGGCGCTGGGTGCTCCGGTCTGCTGTTAGGGAACCCTCGACCCGCTGGAGATGTGGGTGCAGCTAGGAGCCAGCCGGGCAGGGACCCCCTGTTTGTGCTGGCACCAGCCTCCTCGCGTTCTGGGGGACCTCACGGGCCCCTGAGTTCCGCAGCCAGCCCTTCCTCTGGGACCTCTGGGGCCCGTGCTGCGGGAGGGGTGCTTCTCTTCTGCGTGTCACAGAACAAACACTAGTCTCAACATATCCTTTGTTGCACTTTAAAGTGAGATTAATTTAACTTCCGTTTGGTTGAAAACTTCCTAAGGAGAAAATTCAGTCTACTGGCTTGCTATAGATAAATGGATGTTAAACTTTTTAAAAAAAGAGGTGGCAACTGCGGTTTGGATATAGTCTTGAGGTTCATATGAAACTAGTGTCACTCTATTTTGATTTTCTTGTTCAGGCTAGGGCTTGAAAATTTTTTTCCTGGGAGGTGGAAGAATTAAAATATTTCTGTCTGCAATCATTTTCCCCTCAAATGAGCCTCATACCTTTGTAAACATGTACCTTACTGAGGAAAGGAACTGGGGAAGCCACGTTTTCACTTCTCTTCACTGTGTACATGTACAACCACTGTCTTCAACGCTGTCTCCCATTCCTGCTGTCTTTTGCTTTGTACGTTATTGTGTCTACTCAAGGAGCTGAGCTGACCTTCCCCCAGAGGCACCCTGGAGTCTCAAATGATCAGAATGAATTTATTTGTGTCTTCTGTTATGCTTGTATCTCTTACTTGTTTTGACAATAAAAATCCTTACTACTTTCTCAAAAAAAAAAAAAAAAAAGAAGAGCAAAGTAAAACTAAAGCTAGCAGAAGAAGGAAATAATATAAGGAGAGAAAACAAAGAACAGAAAAAGACAATAGAGAGAACCAACAAAACCCCAAACTGTTTTTCTGAAAAGACCTGTGAAGTTAACAAAACTCTAGCTAGACTGGGGCGGTAGGGGGCGGGAGGAAGACTCAATCCAACAGCCGCACTCGTGTTTTGGCCATTTGGTCACAGTAACACAGACGCTGTCCTTCAAGATCACTGGGCCCCACTTCGTCATTTTATAATGGAGAGGAGTAAGGCCCAGATTGATGCAGTGGCTTGGGCAGGGTCACCAAGAACTGGGCCTAGAATCCAGGCCTCCTGGGACTCCCGCAGAGAAACTACATTAACGGCCAGGATGTGATGATCACTGGGGATTAGGTCAAGCACACCAGCGTCGACGGCTCAGGTCTCCAGCAGGAGACCTTCAGGATTCTGCAGCAGGGGAGTGAGTATGGATCCCAGCAGGCTGACCTGCGGTCCCCCAAACCCCTGATCTATACTCTTTCACCCCCTCTGATGGCAGCTTAACTCACAGATACAGGCTTCATGAGCTCTGGGGAATGGTCCCATTCAATGCAGTGTGGAGTCAGAGAGGGGGAGCCCCATGACCCCTGTGAGCAGCAGCTGCCTAAGAAGGAGCGTGCTGGGTTCAACATACAGGGTGCCCTGGAAGTGGGGCTGAGCAGAGGGTGATGAATGCACTCATTTATGGCCAGAGAAACAATAGGACTCCTGTGACAGGCACTGCAGTTCTGAATGCCCAGTTCAGTGGAGAGGAAGTCAAAGAAAACGAGGGGGCCATGGCCAGCAGGCCTGCTGAGCCGCCTGTTGAGACAGCCCAGAGAGCCACCCCTCACCCAAAGTGGTGGGCCCTGCATGCTCAGTGGTTCTATCAGTAAAATGAGCTTTCCCTCTGGCTTCCAGAACCCCTGTCCTGCTCTCTGTGGGAGGGAAGAATCCTGAAAGGCATAAGATGGTGCTAGGAAGAGGGCCCTCAATAGAGGTCAGGAGACCCTGGACCCAGGCCTGGCTCTGCCACCAATTTCCCCTGTGGCATTGGGTGAGTCACCCCTCTGGGTCTTGGTTTCCCTGTTGCTACAACGAAGGGACAAGAATGAAGAGATTGGTATCTCTTTGCATCTCGTCCAACTTAGGCTGCAGAGTCTGGAGTAAGCACTCTGCCCTCTCTGGCCTTGGAGCCTTGCTGACAAACAGGCTGTGCATCTGAGTCCAGTCCAGCTCTAGAGCATGTTGGGGACAGGGCGACAGGGCCCCTGTAAGGAGCATAGGGTCCAAGGTGCCTTCCTGATACGCTGTTTCTCCCCCGGATTGTTCTCCAAAGGGAGCCCTCTCTTACCATCGACACCCAAATTCAAACTCCCTTCCCTCATTTCAGAAGGAAGCAATATTCAAGTTGCTCCCTCTAAGGTAAAGTGGCACCTTCATTCTATTCATCATCACATATGATACTCGATAAACATTTGTGAAAGAAAAAAGCAATCTGACTCCATTCACTCTAAAATATGCATAACCCTCAGTATTTACCCGCCAAAAAGGATTTGCATATTAGACATCTCAGTTTTCCTCAACCTAGCATTCTAAAATCCAGGTATACAGACAGATTGTGGAGGTCTGCAGACCCCCTGCAATCATGGCGATGTTCTTCATGCATGTCTCAGTGCGTGTTTCTAGGAGAGGGTCTACACCTTTCACCAAATTCTCGAAGAGAAAATGTGTCCCCCTGTGTCACTCCCACACCCCCAGGCTGGGACCCAGCCGCCCATGTGCTCATGAATGTAGACAGGCTTCAGCTGCAGAGCAACCTGGGCAGGCATAGGCCAGGTGGGGTTCTGGGGTGCGGGTTAGACTCCAAAAATACATGGATCTTGAGGGCAAAGTATTCAAGAACCACAGGGCTCACCCAATGAGCCTGGAACCGAAAGACGAAGACTCTCCCACCTGGACTGAGGGTCTCCCTATAACCTTGTCTCAGCTAGAGATGTTCTGTGTCTCTAGCCTCTTCTTGCCTGGGAGAGCCTCGAAGGCAGAGACCACTGCTAAACCCCCAGCCCAGACTGACACGCGATCACACACAGCTGGCTTTGTTGCAGCCTGGTGACAGGACCTGAACTGGAGGCTTGACTCTCAGGACTTCTTCCTCTGACCTGGACAAATTCTTAACACCCTGGAGCACCAGTCACCAGGCTTCTCTGATCAACTGAAAAGCCAAAGGAAACACCCCGGCTTTGTCAAACCCTGGAGTTCTTTGGGCTGAGCTGCTGGGGAGAAAGTACCGAACAAAAGGATACTAAACGAAGGAGGACCCGTCATAGAAGGAGTAGTGCAACTTGATGAACTTCCTGGGTCCCTTCCACTCCAGAGAATGCTGGCTGAAGTGGAGGTGGTGGGCGGAGGGCTGGTGAGGGGTGGACGCATAAGTCTGAGTGCCTGGAGGGTGAGGGTGGTGGGAGCTGTGGGTCTGAGCATCGCCTTTGGGGGTCGACAATAGATGAGGGGGCATCTTTGCCCTGTAGTTGCGTATGACGATGGGGTAGAAGATGTTCCTCCCTTTCCACGAGACCCTTTCGGCTTCTCTGCAGGGAAGGAGATCAACATGTCTTCTAGCCACTTGGCTCTCACTCACACTGTAGCCCCTCCCCAGCTCCTGAGACTCCCATCCCATCTCTGTCCCCGGAAGACCTTTTCCCACCCCAGCACCTCATCCTCACAGGTAATGCTTTTAGAAGAACTGGGAAGGGCTGTACCCCTGTCAGACCAGTCCTGGCCTCTTGTCCACCTTTTGCACAGTGGTGGAGACCCATGGGGTGGGCCTGTGTGCAGAATGGGGTGGGAAGCTGGAGGCTTTGATCCCCTCCCAATCCTGAGGTTACAAACGAAGCCAGCTTCCTTCTGAAATGCCGCAGTCATGAGCAAACTGGGTGGCTGCCCTCTACCCAAGCTCTCCAGCTGCAGAGACAGCCACCCGGAAGCTCCAGGACACAGATACGCTTAGATGTGCCTACATTTGAACTCCTTCATGGGCCTTGTTCCAGGGAACAAGGGAAACGCAGGCTCACTTGCTAGGACTCGTGACCCACAAAATCATAAATATCATTAATCACCCAGGTAGATATGTTTTGAGAGGTGTTTTTTTTTTTTCCAAAGAGAACATCCAAGAAATTATGTTAAGAAATAAACATGCTTAACTATAAGAATGTGTAAATTATAAGAAGCTATGCAAAGGGGTCTCACTGGTGAGGAGGCAAAAAGCATTGCCCTGGGTCAGGCTCACCGAGTGGGAGGACCTCAGACAACGCTTTGCTGCCATGCACTTGGGGTAGTACCTCAGTTTCCTCATCTGCCGAATGAGCATAAACCTACCTCTCCATAAGGTTATAGCAGGACGGTGAAGGACTAGGGATGTGCGGGGGAGGGATGACAATCACCCCTCCACTGGCGCTGGGGGCACTGGGTAGCCAACATGCCCAGGACCCCCCTTCCGCACACACAGGCCATGCCCTCCTTTCCCACCTGCCCCAACTACCAAGGCACTCACATAATGCGACACATCTCCTGCAGCTTCTCCCGGGCTTCAGGGCAAGGGTCGCTCAACTCGATAACCTCAGAGCTAGAGGTTCCCGCTCCTGCTCCTCGCTGCGGGGATGCCAAAGCATCGTCCATATTTTTGGGTTTGCCTGTGGCTGGAGACAAAGAGGTTAAGGACAGTTTGAGACAATGGTTTCTCAAGATGTCCTATTTACCTGGGGAGAGGGGCTGGGGACAGCAGGAGAGCTGCTGTCATTTTGAGCTGCTGAGTTATTTTGAGAGTCAAAATAACTGGGAATCATTTATGCTTCCAGAGATAGGAACTCCTAGCAGGTCTTATGAAACAGGCGTCACTCTGTGAGTCAACCAACTGTGTGTCAGGAACATTCATGCAGGGTGGTGAATCCAGCGACGTTTCCCCAAGGGCAGCCTGGTTCTGGATAGGGAGAGGACACCCATGGCTGCCGTGGATACAGAAGGGATTCCTTATGATACTTCTGACTTAAGGCAAAAAGTCTCAATTCCAGCTCAAGGAACAAGCTTCAACACTTCTGTGATGCTGGCTTATCTCAGCCTTCAGCAGAGGGCAGAGTGTATCGACTGAGACTTGGAATGTGATGTTTTGGAGTTTTCTGCTTGTGTTTGTGGTAAAATACATGTAACAAAAACTTGCCAACTTCATTTTTTTTTCATTTATTTTTATTAGTTGGAGGCTAATTACTTTACAATATTGTAGTGGGTTTTGTCACACACTGACAGGAATCAGCCATGGGGTTACATGTATTCCCCATCCCAAAAATATGGAACGCTTCACGGATTTGCGTGTCATGCTTGTGCAGGGGCCATGCTAATCTTCTCTGTATCGTCCCAATTTTTAGTATATGTGCTGCCGAAGTGAGCACGCCAACTTCCTTTTTAAGAGGCCAGTTCAGAGATACCAAATACATTCAAGGTGTTGCGCAACTGTTATCACCATCTGTTCCCACAGCTCTTTACATTTTGTAAAATTCAAACTGTAGCAGTAACTCCCCGTTCTCCCCTGGCCCCTGGCAACTGCCAGTCTAACTTTGTATCTCTGTGATTCTGACTACTCTAAGGACCTTGTATAAGTGGAGTCAGACAGCATTTGTCTTTTTTGTGACTGGGATATTTCATGTGGTATAGTGTCAAGGTTCACTGATGTTGTAACAATATTGCTTCCCTTGCAGCTCAGTCAGTGAAGAATCTGCCTGCAAGTGCAGGAGACCGGGGTTCCATCCCTGGGTTGGGAAGCTCCCCTGGAGAAGGAAATGGCAGCCCACTCCAGTATCCTTACCAGGAAAACCTCAAGGACAGAGGAGCCTGATGGGCTGCAGTCCATGGGGTCACAAAGAGTCGGGCACGACTGAGCGACTAACACTTAACTTAGTCGTTCAATAAATACTAAACTAAACAATACTGCAGGATTCCCTTCCTTTTTAAGGCTGGACAGTATTCCACAGGTACAGACAAAATTTTATTTTTTGACTGCACCATGTGGCATGTGGATCTTAGTTCCCCAACCACGGATTAAACTCAAGCCCCCTGCCCTGGAGGCATAGCATCTTGACCACTGGATCTCCAGGGAAGACCCATGACCAACTATTCTTTATCCATCCTTTACTGATGGACAGTTGAGTTCCACCCATGTTTTAGCTACTGTGGATAAAGCTGCTGTGAACACTTGTACAAACATCTCTTTGAGACCCTGCTTTTAATTCCTTTGGGTATATGCTGAGAATTGAAATCACTGGATTATATGGTAATTCCACGTTTAATTTTTGAGGAACTGCCATACTGCCTTCCACAGTAAACCTGGCTGTGCCATTTTACACTCCTACCAACAGTGCACAAGGCTTCCAGTATCTCTGCATTTTCACCAGCACTTGTTTTCTGAGTTTTGACAGTAATCATCCTACTGGGGGTGAGGTAGTATCTCATAGTAGTTTTGATATCCATTCTCCCAATAGTTAGTGATGTTGAGCATCTTTTAATGTGTCTATGGGCCACCTATATCTTCTTTGGAGAAATGTCTATTCAAGTCCTTTGCCCATTTTTGAACCAGGTTGTTTTTTCGTTCTTGAGTTTGAGAAACTCTCTCTATATTCTGGATATTACTCCCTAGTCAGACATGATTTGCAATTATTTTCTGCCATTCTGTGGACTCTCTTTTTACTTTGTCAATAGTGTCTTCTGATGCACAAAATTTTAAAAATTCATGAAATGCAATGTGTCTATGTTTCTCTTTCTTGGCCAATGCCTCTGGTGACATATCCAAAGGAATGAGTCATTGGATCATGGATTAGATTAAGGATTCACTGAATCATGAATCATTGTGAAATCCAATGTCATCATGTTTTTGTCTCATTTTCTTCTAAGCGTTTTATTGTTTTAGGTCTTACATTTAAGTCCTTGATCCATTTTGAGTTAATTTTTATATATGGTGTTAGGTAAGGGTCCAACTTCATTCTCTTGCATGTGGATAACCAGTTTTCCCATCACCATTTGTTGAAAAGCCTATCTTTTCCCCATTGAATGGTCTTGGAACCCTGTCAAAAATCATTTGCTCATATATGTAAAAATGTATTTCTGGGTTTTCTACTCCATTTCATCGGTTAATATGTCTGTCACGGTGACAATATTGCACTATTTTGATGAGTTCAGCTTTGCAGTAAGTTTTGAAATTTTGTGAGTCCTCCAATCTTACCGTTCTTTTTAAAAATATTTATTTGCTTTTACTTATCTATGTGGCTGTATTGGGTCTTAGCTGTGGCCTGCAGGATCTTTGGTCTTTGTTGCAGCATGCACGATCTTCCAGTTGCAACATGTGGGATCCACTTCCCTGATGAGGGACTGAACTCAGGTCCCTGCATTGGGAGCACAGAGTCTTGGCCAATGGACCACTAGGGAAGTCCCCTGTGGCTCTTTTCAAGACTTTTTCTGACTACCCAGTGGTCTCTTGAGATTTCTTTTAACCTTTAGGATGAGTTTTTCTATTTCTTCAAAAAAACATCTTTAGCGGACATCCTTAGTGGTACAGTGGTTAAGAATCTGCGTGCCAATGCAGGGAACATGGGTTCCATCCCTGGTCAAGGAAGATTACACGTGTCACGCAGTGACTAAGCCCATGGGTCACCACTACTGAGGGTGCATTCTGAAGCCCGTAAGCTGAAACTACGGAGCCTGCCTGCCCTAGAGCCGGCGGCAGCGAGACAGGCCACCGCAGCGAGAAGTCAATGCACCACAACGAGAGGAGCCTCCACGTGCCGCAGCCAGAGAAAGTCTCGGAAGCAGTGACGACCCCGCGCAGCCTAAATAAACAAATAAATTAACTAAAGAAAATCTTCGGCATTTTGATAGTGATTATATTGAGCCTTAGATTACTTGGGGAAGTACTGACATTTTAACAAGGTCAAATCTTCCAATTCATGAACATGGAATGTGTTTCCATTTATGTCTTCTTTAATTTCTTTAACCAATGTTTCATAGTTTTCGTTGCACAAGTTTTTCACCTCTTCTGTTAATTCCTAAGTGTCTGACTCTTCTTGTTACTACTGTAAATGGGACTGTTTTCATAATTTCCTTTTCAATTGTTTACTGTTCGTGTATAGAAATAAAGCCAACTTTTGTGTTGACTTTGTAGCCTGCTCCTTTGCTAAATTCATTTATTAGTTCTAATAGCTTCTTTTGTGTAGAATATTTAGGGTTTTCTCCATATAAGAAAAGCTCTGACAAACCTAGACAGCGTATTTTTTAAAAGATATTACTTTGCTGGGCAAAGGTCCATCTAGTCAAAGCTATGGTTTTTCCAGGCATCATGTACAGATGTGAGAGTTGGACCATAAAGAAGGCTGAGCACAGAAGAACTGATGCTTCTGAACTGTGGTGTTGGAGAAGACTCTTGAGATCCCCTTGGACTGCAAGAAGATCAAACCAGTCAATCCTAAAGGAAATCAATCCTGAATATTCATTGGAAGGACTGATACTGATGCTGAAATTCCAATACTTTGGCCACCTGATGTGACGAGCTGACTCATTGGAAAAGAACCTGATGCTGGGAAAGATAGAAAGCAGGAGGATAAGAGGATTACAGAGGATGAGATGGTTGGATGGCATCATGGACTCAATGGAGATGAGTTTGAGCAAGCTCCGGGAGATGGTGAAGGACAGGGAAACATGGTGCGCTGCAGTCCGTGGGGTTGCAAAGAGCCAGAGACAACTGAGTGACTGAACAACAACCATATAAGATATCATCTGCAAACAGGTAATTTTAACTCTTTATTTTCAGTTTGAATGCCTTTTACTTATTTTTCTTGTAATACGTTGAATAGAGGTGAAAGCAGACATCCTTGCTTCATTTCTGAGCATAGTGGAAAAGCTTTCATCTTTTACCACTGAATACGATGTTCACTGTGCAGTTTTCATATACGACTTGTGTTAAGTGGAAGTAGTTTCCTGCTATTCCTAGTTTGTTGAGTGCTTTTTTTTTTATCATAAGAGGAAGTTAAGTTTTGTCAAATGCTTTTTCTGCATCAATTGAGAAGATCATGTGGATTTTTTCCCCTTCATCCTGTTAATGTGATATATTACAATGATTGAGTTTTATCTGTTAAATCATGCTTGCCTTCCAGGAATAAATCCTGCTTGGTGTCTTGTTATATAATCCTTTTAATATGCTGCCAAATTCTCTTTGCTAATACTGTGCTAAGGATTTTGACATCAATGTTCATCAGGTATACTGGTTTCTTGTAGTTTTCTTACAGTGTCTTTGGCTCTGATATCAGGGCAATACTGGCCTCATGGAATGAGTTGGGAAGCATTCCCTCTTCAATTTGGGGGAAAAATTTTAGAAGGATTGGCATTAGTTCTTCCCTGAATGTTTGGTAGAATTCATCGTTGAAATGTTATAACTTCCCATATGTTACCTTTATGGAGATCTTTATTCTCCCTGTGAGTTTGTGGTTCTGTCTACTGTCCTTTCATTTTATTTTGCAGGACTCCCTTCAACGCTCTGTTCATTTTTCTTCAATCTTTTTCTTTCTGCTCTTCCAACTCAGTAATTTCCATTGTCCTGTCTTTGAGTTCATGGATTTTCTTCTGTCTGCTGAAATCTGTAGTGGAAATACTTTATGCTTAT